TGCGTACCAAGTGTTCTTTTTCATGAATAACACAACGAACAGCTCACGCAGCAGAGTAATGTTCTTTTCCGTTCAGTGTCCGATGGAGAAAAATGCCCATTCGGAGCCTGTACTTGCATCCAGAAGTGAGTTTTGGGATGGTGTTCATTTCGAGGGAGCAATCAAACAAGACGTGCTCAGTCCCAAGCATTCCATATATGTCTCACCGCTCAGAAATAAAGTAATAATAACAGACACTTTGACAGCATGTACAGTACCGCATCAACAAGAGCTTATCTTTTATTGATGCAGTGATTACCTGCAAGATTTCCTGAGGCCCATATTGTTTGTTGAATTATTTAGAGGGCGGGTCCACGGTGGATCAGCAAACTCAAGTGGGCGTAAAACGATTCAATAACGCCTCAACACTTCAAAGCTGGAAGTCATGCGACCATGCACGTTGTCCTTTGATGCTGCTTTGGCGTGAGAATGGCTTGTCTAAGCGAGAGCGCTCCTGTCAGTTTATATACTGTACTGTATCGGTTTGAGGAGATATGTGGGATTACATACATGCTGCATCGCACAGTCTTTCTTTTCCTGGCATTAAGTGAGGCCTTATTAATGGGCAATTAAAATTTCATCAGCGCTGAAAAATAAATGAGGCAGAATCAGTGCTTGGGAACAAGTCGTTTCAACATTGCAACACTTCAATTAAACAATATCACCTTTATGGGCCACTGGGTAACCTCAGTTTAACATTTTTTTTAATCCTTACTGGAAAATAAAATATGACACCATGGCCCCGCTCGGCTCATTGAGCATGTCATGAGCTACATGAACTGCGGATTCACAATGCAAACATTTCGATGAAACAAGACAAAGAATATTCGGTCACGCTCGCTGGCTTTTTATTGGAAATCTTTGTGAACGGCAGCAGAGCAAATATGCGAGCATATATTTATTTGGGTAGTGCCACTGGAATCAAGCTAGTTTTGAAAAGACACCTGAGCAAAGCAATAAGGGAGACCCAGATATGAGGAACAATACACTGATACAAAAGACTGTGGCAGCACTTTCACTGGAACAAATTGTGTATGAATTAATATTTGGAGTTTATATACACATACACACACCGTACGCATCAATGAAAAGCTGAAATGATAAGTGGTAGTTGCTGTCAAACTTGTAAGTTGAGGGGTTCGTAGATTTCGAATGGATGGCTCTACGTTAAGAATGGGCAAAAGGACAGATGGATATCGTTTGAACACAGCTTTATTTGACGTCTGTACCGCAGTACGAACGAAAACACCTCTTCCGGCAACTCCAACACTTCCTGCTTTCCTTCAGCCAATCAGACGCTAGCAACATAAAAATGTTGAAGCAATTATTAAACAGAATATAATTCAGGTAACCTTAACATGAAAGAATATAATACTCAAACATAAAATGATAATAATTAATAATTTAACATAAGCTTACAAACTGTTGTCTGTCTTTTTCACTCAAAAATTGTCTTTTTCAAACAGGCTTCACAGTTAGCATCTCACTATTAGCACTCTCCTTGGCAAAGCAAGCTAACTTGTGTTCATGCTATCGGTCGTTTCACTAAACTGACACAAAACACCTGTGCTAATAATTACAAGTCTGCTCTGTAACTAAAATTGAAAACATCTCCGGGGAGATCTGAGGAACAGCAAGTGTCTCTGATGTAACCTGATCTCAGATGGATATCATTTGAACACAGCTTTATTTGACAACGTCTGTACCGCAGTACGAACGAAAACACCTCTTCCGGCAACTCCAACACTTCCTGCTTTCCTTCAGCCAGATGCGAGCAACATAAAAATGTTTAAGCAATTATTAAACAGAATATAATTCAGGTCACCTTAACATGAAAGAATATAATGCTCAAACATAAAATGATAATAATTAATAATTTAACATAAGTTTACAAACTGTTGTCTGTCTTTTTCACTCAAAAATCTCCAAACAGGCTTCGCAGTTAGCATCTCACTATTAGCACTCTCCTTGGCAAAGCAAGCTAACTTGTGTTCATGCTATCGGTCGTTTCACTAAACTGACACAAAACACCTGTGCTAATAATTACAAGTCTGCTCTGTAACTAAAATTGAAAACATCTCCGGGGAGATCTGAGGAACAGCAAGTGTCTCTGATGTAACCTGATCTATTTAAGAAATCATAATTAGGAGCTATTCAAGGTCAGGGATGGAGTAGGTTATCTGGCTAGATGAGCTGGATAAATTATGCAGGAAGCTCCGTCCGCGGAGGTGTTTGAAGCTTCCTTTCGGCTTGTTTTGACCGCGGTGTCTTGTTTCGGGAATGCTGAGAAGCCCCGCTGCCTTGCCGATACGTTTCAAAATGCGGTGCAGTCAATGATACACCTTCCAACTACCAATCCAAGTGAGACTGTTTAAAAAAATAAATAAAATAAATCAAACGCTGACAGGCTGACTCGAAGAGTATTGCGCTGAATAGATAAAAACCTTCCTCGGTAAGACTCCCTGCTGAATGTGGAATACAGTAATGAAAAGGCCAACCTCTGTGAACGTCCACACTCCCCGAGCCGCCAATGTACTTGTAATCTGCAGCGGGGTCTCGTAATGAATCCACATTTAATTGAAAACTGCTTCATATACTCGATTAAGCATAACCGTGTCCATTGATCCCCAGTGAAGCGCTGCAGAGCGTGGGCCGAGAGCGTGTTAATGAGCAGGATGATTGAGTAGGGGATAGGAAGGAAGTCGGCGTAATGAAGACGTGCGCGTCTATAAATACGTGACATTCAATTAAACAAAAGGTGTCAGTCGCTGCATCGTCAAATGCGATGACAAAACAAGCGTTCATTAATAACACAGAGTTGCGTGCACACATGTTGCTAACAAATCCAATCATGAAAAATGATAAAAAGCTGTCATACATTCATCTAAAAAAAAAAAAAAAAGCACCATTAATAAAAGAGTTTTAATTGACTTCCAAAAGGGGAAAAGAGGCAAGCTGTCTTGCCCTCCCAGGAAAGGACGGCTGGTGGACATTATTGATGATGTTTAGCACAAAATTAGTTCCCAAAGCCCATTTTAAACCGAATAAGTTGCGCCTAGAGGAACATTTTTCACTTTTGAGTGAAACATTTCTTCTTTTTTCTCATTACTTTTCCCTCCTGCAGCTCAAAGGAACAGATGAAAAGCACCAATTGGGGCAAAAGGAATGTCAGACTGTTCGTCAAACCGCAGAGATTTATAGCCTCCAGATGTAAACTGAAATACAGCACCCCACCCCTCCTTTTTTTTTTGTCTTAACATTAGACACCTTCATTTCACAAGACGGAAAATCATCCCTTTCACCAGCCACTTCATTTGATACATCTAATGACATCCGACAGAAGAAATAATGGCCATTCGATGACATTTCCTTGAGAAAGTTACAGAGAAAGTTAATGATCAATATATCAAATACACCATTTTGCTGGCCTCGTCCTCCGTGGAAACAAAATATAAAGAGCGCGGGTTTGTTGTTCTTGTGAACACAAACGGTATGTAGCGAACATTTTAGCAAGGATCAAATTCATTGTAGCATGAAAAAAAGGTTTTAGTCACAAACACAGAGCCATCGTCGTTTGCTTTCCGAGCTCTGGGGGATCCCAGTTGAGAATCTTTGCGTTTTGATGAAGACAAGTGAAAGGGGAAGAAACCATCCATTAAAAAAAAAAAAAAAAAAAAATATTTGTGACTGAAACTTTTACCTTTTGCTACATAGTGACGGAGTGCAGTGCGAAAAGGGACAGAGCTATGCTCATTTCAGCCACCCACTGTTTTCTGGAACCTAAAAGTATCCCTCGGGTTATATTTACTCATTCTTTCTAGCAGCTAAAGCACTCGAGTTTTTCTGCCTGTCCATTTTGAATGGAGCAGGAAACTAACTGGAAACTAATTGGCTGATCATTGGCAAGAGTGGAAGTGCTTCAGAGTGCCAGTGCACGTAGTCCCTAGACGCCCCCATAAAAAGCTTTACAATCGCTTTTAGATGCATCAAGAACTACTTGTGCCTAAAAAAAAAAAAAGCTCATCAACTGACTTCAACATAGTTTCTCGGAGCCAAGATGGCACAAGATGGTGGCAAAGCATGTGTCTAAATTAAGCTCCTCAACTCATTTCAATATGGTTTCTCAGCAAAAATAAATAAAATAAAAATCCACAAATATGAGAATTCACAATTGGTAATGCAGGGTTTCACTTGACATGAAAAGTGTAATTCTGCAATTGGTAATGCATGAACATGCAGGGTTTCACTTGACATGAAAAGTGTAATTCTCATGACGATGCTATACAGTTCTACACCACAGCAAACTACTGCCACAACAATAACACTGTGGATCTTGATAGAGCTGTCGTAATAAAATATGCTCCAAGTCAGCTGTAGAATACATTTTAAAATTATGCTCCTGGTCTTTAAATAGACAGAATGGCTTAGATTCGGAATACATAAAAGAAATACTCTTTGAATGTAAACCCAGATGGGTTTCTGAGGTCAGCAGACCCAAGTCAATTTGTGGAAACTAGAATTCAAAGCAAACACGGTGCATGAGCATTTAGCTGTTATGCTGCACGCAAATGGAATAAAATGCTAACAGAACTGTAGTTTGCCCCAAATGGAAATGATTTCAAATCCAGGTTAAAAACTATGCTTTTTTCCCCCAGTACCTTATGATTTGGGTCTTTCAGAGCATTTTCATAATGAGCTTTTTCAAAATCATGCTCTTGCACTGCGTGTTCTTTTAATAATTTTGGTAAACAACTTTTTACTCCTCTCCTTAATTTTAAAATGTCTTAAATTCTTCTGTTTTTTGGAAATGTCTTCAGTTCATTGGCCTTTAAATGCTGTTTTGTAACTGTGTGAAGCACATTGAGTTAACTTATTTATGAAATGCACGATAGAAATAAAGCTGCCTTGCCTTGCTGAACAAAAAGGGCACGTGTTGCGTATGTGGTTGACTCCGACTGTACCTTAGCAGCAAAGGATGAGCTGGGCTTCTCCAGGAGGTCCCAAAGTTTCTTCCTCTTCTCCGAACAGCACGTGGTGGTAAACTCCTCGCCTTCCCGCTCTCTCATGTTCTCCGCCTCTCGTTTGAGCTCCTCGTTCATCTGCTCTTTCTTTTGGTGGTACCGGGCCTGGCAGCAGGACTCCAGGTAGATCTCGTCGATGCCCCAGAAGTCCAGCTCTTGGCTGAACGACAGGGCGCACATCTCCTCCATCATGTGCAGCTTCCCCGTGCGGTAAAAGTTCAAAATGGACGTGAAGGCTCCGGGATGTCTGTCGAAGAAGTATTCGTTGCTGTCCAAGCTGTAGTCGTCGCAGATCTCCATGATGGAGTCGTGGGTGTTGCAATCCCGCAGCTTGCCAAGTCTCGTGCGGGGCAGGCGGTCCAGTGTCCTCCACAGGACTTCGTGGAGGAGGCCCCCGACATTGAGCCTCACCCGGCGGGTGTTCTTGCTTCGGATGATGTCCACCGCGTCCGGCGGCTGCGCTCCGGATGACCTTGTCGCCACTTTGATCATCTTCGTTCGAGTAGCTCAGTCAGTGCCAAAGACGGGACGGTGGGGGTTAAGAAGACATGGTCCTCTGGGTGACCTCATCAGGGTCTGCACACTCTTGCCGTGGCTGCAACAACAACAATAGAGTGAAAACCGAGCTACATTGTGGTTCTTGTACTGAGCACTGAAGCTCTTCAGCTCTTCTTTTTGTGGGGGACTCTACATGGAATTCCTTCACACTCCTCTATGTCCAAAAAAAGTAGTCAGGTTCCCAGTGGTCTTGTCATCCTCGCCTTCAAGTTACACTTCCACAAGGCCACAGTGTTCAAGTCAGGCCCAGAGCGCAGTGTGTCTCTTCGACTGATATAAATAGCTAACTTGGCTTCCCCGAGTAAAGGAGTTGGCACTTACGTTTGTTTTCCTTCTTGTATTTGGCCCTGCTCATTGAACATAAGGACAGAGAAAATGACACTAAGGAGGTTAAGAATACATGTATTAAGACTAACAAAAAAAAAAAATTCAGAATACCAAAATGAAGAAGAGGCAGAAAAGGTCCCCAACTAAACTCTGGTAATTGTTGACCCTACGGAGTGGACAAAATATATACGCAGTCCTGTTGTATGCCCTGTTTGTATGAGTTGCTGCTCATTGTGTATTAAAGTAACAGTTACAGTCTGTACATTTTGCATTAATGGTTTGCATTAAGATAGTTCATGATTAAAGTTTGGTTGAACTATACAATTTTATTCATAAACTGTGAGGAAACAAATAACAGCTTGAGGCAAGAACGTTTTGCCTCTTGCTTGGAGAAGTGAGCGAGCTCATCTTTTCGCTTCCTCAAAGCGATGCCATTCGATCGGATCCCATTTCTTGACAGTGAGAGAGTGACAACAGGTGCTGAGGAATAACTTTAAAACTGCTTTTAAATAAGTGTATGTCTGTTTTAATGTATTTAAAGTGTGCCAAAGCAGTAAGACATTTTTTTTTAATTCTACGTTTTCTCTATATCACGGATTTTAACCCATGGCCGGTGGACCTGGCATAGAAAAGCGGATTTGAGGCACCTGCAGCAGTGTCCTACAGCAGAAATGTCAAGAGGTTTATCCACTCATCAGGGAACAGAATAGATATATTAATCTGCTTTAGGAGGCACAGACGCTCTTCTTGCTGACAAGGGTGGACGCGGGGGATCCTTACTGTCCATGACTTTAGTTGGACTCACTAGTTAATGTGACCATTATTAATGGACACTTAAACCACCTAATTAGATCCACAACGGGAGCTATCCGATATATTAAAAATTCAGCCTGTACACACATAATAGCACAATCTATCATTTGTAGTTTAACAATGTTTATTGCAGTTTGCAGTGGTGTAATCAATATGTGGTATTAATTGTTACAGGGGTTGGCTTTCTGTCTCGGAGGACTTTTTAGGCAACTATCTTTTATGGCCTGTGTTATACAGGTTCTCCCTTTTCAGTGTGGACACGTAAGTGATTGACAGCAATGTGGAGTTTTTTGCATCAAGTCTCCTGAATCTTGCTAAGCGCATCGACTTTTCATCACTTGTGGTGCAAATCAAGTTGATACTTTTTAAAAATGTGCAATGTTGCCCATGTTTCAAGAATTTAGGGACGCCATGTCATATAACTGTCATGTATGTACATGAGGGTCCACAAAAGGACATTCGGTCAGACATATACAGTATTAAAGCATGGGACCTTCCAGATGAAAAATAATCACAAGAATAAAACTCCCATCAGAGTAAATGTACATATTTTAACCATATGATTTGTGTCATTGCCAACATATACGTTTATTAATCAAGTTCATTTTCGAGCAAGTAGCATCGAATTTTCGGACAGTTTGTGAGCTGTCCAGTGCTGATCATTCTGTCGCTGTCTGGTGCTGAAATTATGCCTTAAAAAAAAAAGATTAAAAAAAAATCATCGCAGTTTTGACAAGGACTTCAGCATCGATCAATTCAAGTGGTGATAATGTGCTGTCACCAGAAAGTTGAGCATGCAGGAAGACTTAACAAACAAGCGAGCCAAGAAAAGTGTTCGTACGTGTCTCCCGTGCAGCCCGGGTCATGCAGTGGATGTGCGGCGACTTCATTTCAATCAGACACGCGCGTCAAGGTGGAGAACCCGTCCGGATCTTCTGCGCTTGGCACGGATGTGATGAAGACATCATAAGCAGCGTGGAGACATGATGGGAATGTTGCCTCCTTCTTCCCCCTCTCTCTCTCTCTCTCTCTCCCCCCCTCACGCCACACCTCCCAGCTACTCTCTCCTCTCTCTCTTCTTCCTCGTCAGCCGTCCTCCCCCAGGTGGGAATCAACAAGTCGAGCCGTGGAATACTTTGGATTTGGTTCGGGGGGCTCCCCCCCTCGCACTGTGCTGTATCCAGCTGGACGCCGTGTGGGAGTGTGGACTGCTCCCGCTGCCAGGCTTTCCTTCTCTCAAGCTCCTCCAGCTCACTTTAACCCTCGCTCTACCAGACGGCTTCACCAGCAAAGCCACTGCGTGGTGCGAGACCAGGGTGGGCACCCCAGCCCACCAGATGGCGCTGTTTATACAGAGCAGTGACTCAGGCGTGAAATTGATTGTTCATGTACAATTGTCCGACACTGTTTTTTTTCTCACTGGCTGCTCGGTAATTATGTTTGTTTGTTTGTTTGTTTGTTTGTTTGTTCTCACTGGCTGCTCGGTAATTATGGGAGCTCTTTCACTGTGCAACGGGAGTCGGGGAACGCTGGTATATCAAATCATAAGTCACATTTGAAATGAATAGAAATGCTGTTTGTCTGCTCCTGCCCCGCATTGTGCTGTCTGGTCTGCTTGCCTTGGCTATCAAGCACAGTATATTCTATTATGCGACAGCCATATTGTTCAGAAAGATATATGCCCGTGAGTATCGTTATATTGTCCATCTACATGTGTTGCTTCACTGTCCATCGATGCTATTCATTAGCCATCTATGGTGTTTTACATCGTTTGTTAGCATTAAGCTAAATGTGGTTGTTTTAAATACACCATGTGTAATGTGTCTTTTTTAAGTTTGGTTTGACAGCAAACTCCAACTGAGTGTGGAATTAAACACTCTTGAAGCCTTTGTGAGGACTCCACTCATGCCAAACTGTTTGGCATCAAGAACTCAGCTTTAGATTTCTTTTTTTTTCTTTCTTGCAAGTAAAAAAAAAAAAAATCGCTGAGTATTTTTAAAAATTCGGATTCTGTGCCACAAGGCAGCACGATACATAGGCCTACTGTACATATGAAATATGTATGCATGCCAGTGTGTTCAAATATGGAGATGGGGAGTTGAAAGATGGATACAGACAGTTAGCAAATGACCTACATAATCGTTCCCATGTTAAACAAATGGAATGAAATTTGTACATTTAGCTTGTTTTTATGGGTTAAGCTAAAAAGAAATATAGAAAATACATGACTTCTTTATTGTCAAGAATAGTACAGATTGTACTCTTCTGGTAGATTTCAGCAACACAAACAGCATTACGTTTAGCCACTCATTTATGTTGTTTTTGTGTATTCGACGTTTTCATGCAATATTCATCAGCACGCGGCCTCACAATGTGTATTCCACGGTACAGTGTCGCAACTGTCAGGAAGTGATCAACAGCTTCCCGGGGTCATCTACTGTACAAATCTAAACTTTCCACTCACTCTCCAAACAGTGGGCAAGTGTGTCACTGTGACAGATGTGTGCTACGGTGTTTAAAGTACATAGAGTCTTGCTCTACACATGAATTATCGCAAGTTAACATAAAGTATGTTTCATAAATTACGTAATGTAGGGAGACGTAATGTAGGATACATACAGTTTAGGCGTCAAGAGAACATCCTGGGTTGAGACGGAATGAAGGGGTGGCAATCTTCCGCTCAATAAACGTACGCATACGCGCACAGACCATTAATAGTTCAAACAGAATGCTACAGAGGTGATTTGGTCAATTCAAAACATTTGGAAGAGTTGAGGCGACAAGTGTGGGTTTTTTTTATTCGATATGCGACAGAGAACCTTCTACTCATTTGTCCAGTTTTGGGTGAAGTCTCTTAAACATCAGCAAACCCGACCCAAAATATTCTTAGAAAAACAATCACAGCAAAGGGTGGTTGAGGAGTGGTAAAAAGATCCCAGAAAAAAACAACCCCAGCCGCCAGAAATATGAAAACATAAAACAAAACAAAATAGAGAATACTAGAATTGAGTTGTATGAATAAAATGTTGGGAATGGCCTAGAGCACAGGTATCAAACTCAAGGCCCGGGGGCCAGACCCGGCCCGCCACATCATTTTATGTGGCCCGCGAAAGCAAATGATGTGTGTAAACTTCCATGAACCATGCTAAAATCTGTACCCAAACGTTAAATTGTCATGTGTAATAAATAACGTTGAGATTTCGCAATAATTTTGTTACCCTGTCCACACTCACTCAAACAATAGTTGAACAAACTATTATAGTTGATTTGACTGATTTGAAAACTAGCAATCCATCAAATTGTTGTGTACAGGTAATAATATATAAACATTTATTTTGTTTCACTGTCGTGACGGCGCTCCGAACGAAGACGTAACTCCAAAGTGGCCTGCGACAAAAATGAGTTCGACACCTCTGGCGTCGAGAATCAGTCCAGGTTGGCAAATTAAGTTTCTGCTACCTGAATCAAAAATTGCTCTCCTCGCCAAACCGATGCAAAAGACAAAACACACTATTTCACATGTATTAATTTATTTTTAAATAAAAAAATAATAAATATAAAATATAAAAGTACGAAGGGAATTTTGACACATTAAACTGTACATAGTGCATCGACGCTAACATGCACATACGGATATGCGTTGTGACTGCAAAGGCCTAGTGCGTCTTCCTGGCTTTCATGCGCACTAACAAGTCTCCTTTTGGTTGGAGCATCCCGAATCCATAACGGCTGGTGTTTATCTCCGGCATGTGAGCGTTTATGTCGCACAATTCCAAATCCATATCCAACACCAAGTACACAAACCTGAATAGGAGATAAAGAAAAGACAAAGTGGGCTCCAGACTCCGATAACGGGAGGTTTTGAGGCACTGCGCTGATTCCGGCACACTCACTGTCTGATGGTATTGATGGCAAACTGCTTTCCCACACAGCCATTGGTCCCTGCGCCCCACGGCATGGTGTAATATTTCAGCCTTCTGCCTCCTTTATAAAAATCCCTTTTCGCCGATCCATCTTTATTCAGGAAGCGGTCAAACTGGAACTTCTGCAAAACACATTTACAGAGCTGTGACGCGTCGGATTTGTTGACACAAATCCCCTTCAACGTGTGCATCAGTGAAAGTTTTAAAGTGACCTAGCAATGTCCTTCCCACGCTAATTAGCGGTGATTTTGTTTCACTGCCAAACTAATTCCTCAGAGGCGCGCAGCTGACCTCTTATTGGAGGGGGAAAAAAAAAACCTGTCCGATTTGTGTGGGAGTTTATCCCAGCTCGCCGATATAAAAGTTCATGCTACATGTCCTCCCAATTGGTTCAAAAACAATGAAGTAATCCCCCGCCTGTTCGCGGCTTGTTATTTGTGAATTAATCTATCAAAATGTTCTCCGTTATTTGCAAAAAAAAAGAAATAAAAATCACGTCAATGCAGTTTGGGTGCTCTTTTGATAGCATTAAAATGGCAACAAAGCCCTGTCCAAACAGGAATTGGTGTGAAAGGAAGTACTTTGGTGTGACTCTGTAAATGAAATGCAATCATCGCCATGTCCCAAGGCAAATCTCTTTCAAGGTGATGTCAGCGACGTGAAGTTCGTGACTGGTGAGGCACTGACTCCTCTGGAGTCGGATACAAAAATACAAACCAAAAATAGATTAGCCTCCATATTCTATTATTATACTGAATATTTTAGGGGTACGGTGATCAATCCGCCTCCGATTGTGATCGTCGATTTTCATGGAAAAATGTGTGATTGGCGATCACCGATCAAAGCCTGTGATGGCCTCTCGATCACCAAAAGTCGCCAATTGTACCGGTGAAAACTGGTTCAATGGTAACTATTCCCAAATTTTACTTGTGAAACACTCGTCTTCCTCTTTTGCTGATGCAACACATCCTACTCGTACTTGATGAAATGAATGATTAATTTCATCGGGCTCTCGGGTTCTCAGGGAGAAACCGGTTCTCCTTGAGACTTTCGAAACAGGAGTTTCAGGACACATAAATCCTGAATCACAAGACAATGTCCACAACAGATTAAAACTGCCGAAAGAAGAAACAGCTCGAGTCTTCAATCTTAGATCGGCAAGCAGAACAAAGTCATTTGGACAGTTGCATGCTTCGCGTACTTTGTCCTGATCTTGTTATTGATGTTGTGTTCATGTTTACTTTTCAAGGTGACTGATGACTGTTCAAGATATCTGATGGTGCCACTCGACAAATCAAGTGAAGAACCCGTTTGAAATTGTCTCGCCCGTGGCTGATAAATCTCAACAGAGAAAAGCTTTGCGTTTGTGGCGGGCGGCCTGGATTTGTTAGCAAACACGACATTCTTCCCTCTCACTACTCCGTGTCGATGTACCCGGGTCAAATCATCTGGAAGATCTTTATTTTAAAAGGTAATGCGAAACGAATTTGAAATGATAGCGTACTATTTTTGGTGACATAGTTTGTGGTATACAGTATTCATGTGTGACTCTACAAACATTTTTCGGAGGCGTAAATTACTCGTGGTTTTCCACGATTCACAGTAGGGGCTCGGTCTCTACTGTCAGCAAAGGTTTAGCTGGAATGGGGAGAATTACACGAGCAACAGGAACACTCACCTGCGGCTCAGTGTAAATCTCAGGGTCCATTTGAGGGCTGGTGAACGGGAACAAGCACACTCGGTCTCCCTTTCGCAGTTGGTACTCTTGACCATTAGCCATTTGAATAGTTTTCTCCTGGACTACCTCTCTGGTGATGAAGGGGGCAGCAGTGAGTCTGAGGGTCTCCTCCAAGGCACTGTCTGGAGAGGAGAGAAAGAGGAGTTACGACTGAGTGCGATTTCATTTTTCAACGTGGCTTTATTCTTTGTAGTATAAAGCATGGGTTCCCCAAATAGGCAAGCAGCCCCACCTCGCCCCTTTCCACCGTAAGGTTAAAGCAGGGCTCCAGACCGCCCCCAATGGTGACATTTTTTTTCTAAAATTTCATGCAGTGGAAATACATTTTCATCTACTCATGCCTCTGCGACCAGCAACTTTGGTGGTCTTTTTTAAAAATTTTTTGCCGACAGACTTCTGCTCTACACTTCAGCTCATTTATCAGTAATGTAGTCAAAAGGAGTTATTTATTCGCAAGTCAACTTGGGCGCCACAACATTTTCTATTTGCGCCACTGTGTTTGTAGTTTAAAAAACAAACAAACAAACAAACAAAAAAAAAACAAAGGTAGTCTGGAGCTCTGGTTACAGATATAATCCGTAACTTTTGGCACCCCCTTAATGGGGTAATTCAGAATTACAACAACAGTACAGAAACGTAGCTTCAACATGTCGGAATAGGCATGTTATGCCCCTTGTATGTAATTCTACAACCTTGTATTATGTTTTGAAAAGAGTTGTAATTGCTGCATTTTGTGGCTGCATTGTTTGGTGCTCAATTTGGTGTATTTTACGTCAGGCACATTTTTGGGCAGCTATAGGTCCTTGAAAAGATTGAACCAAAGTGTGGACTTCAAAGCCTTTCTGCATTTGTGATAGCGATAGTCGACAGAAAGATGCCAGGTAGTAAAATGCAGACAGAATAAGTCATTCTATATCATTGTTGCATTTGCGAACTATATATTTGAAAATCATGACTATGTGATCATACATCACAATCAGCTATTTTAATGGGTCCAAAGCTAAGGAGGAGCAACTGCTTTACTGCTTTTTTTGTTGTTTTTTTTGTTTTTGGGGGCACTGTTTGCAATGCATGTATGGACTTAAAAAAAAAAAAAAAAAAAGACATTATTTATTGATTATTTTGCTGACCCCAAACTAAGGCTCATGGACCTCGGTTTGAGAACCACTGATAAAGAGGAAAACTTCAGATGGCCAACAGTGAACTCAAAGTCTGTGTTGCCTTCAACTCACCGAAGACCGGAGTGTTTCCACGGGAGTGGAGGAGGGAAGCATCTGTTGTTTCCATCTGGGAAATCTGCTTGAACTCGCTCCTCACCGCACTCAACGCCTCAGGATTTGTCAACAAGAATCCCAAAAGCCAAAAGGCGGCGGGACCGACGTTACCCTGCGAGCAAACAAAAAGAGGACAGTGACCACGCTGTACTATTTGTCTCACTCTGCGGTTGCATAGCGACGGCGCAGGTGCTTGTTTGGCAAAGGCAAACAGCAGCACAATGTGACATGCAACAATGGAGGGAAGAACCTTCAATGAAAACACACCACTAAACAAACAGATTGTCCTTCTTTAGCGAGTCTCCTCGCTTGATAGTCTTATTTTAGCAAGTACAGAAACGATTTAAGTAAACAAGGAAAAATCATTTGAAAGTTGATGGTGCCAAGTATTTCAAGTAGCGCAATGAAGACAAGATGAAAATACCAAAAAATGCGACTGAATTTCTAAGACTAATGAACAAACTCATCAGCCTATTCTCAGGAACTACGTGCTTACGAGGAATACACTATTTCTGGTGTGCAAATGGTCTTTATGATTAAAATAACATGTCCTAATGAAGCCCGCAAACGCCTGACTCGCTCAAGTGTGACTCAGCGTCACTTCAAAGTTGTGATTCAAAAGTGGGAAATAAAAGCGATGAGTGCAGAACAAATTGATGAGTAAGTTGCCGATGGGGCCCAAGTTGACATCTGATCAACACGTTGAATACAAAGAAGGCCTCCAGCAGACCTGGAGGCAAGATGGAATGAGTCAGAATGGAGTTTGAAATGTGAGTGGAATGAGCATCCAAAGCGGCGATCACCCAAGCTCAATTTTATTTTCAAATGATATATTTTCATTTCAACGTTAAAAACGTGTTGTTATAATAATTCAGGTGTAAAAATGACACTCGGATTAGTTAGTCTATCTTGGGTGAGCGAGGACAATCTGTGCAGTGCGGGGAGACTTAAGGTAAAAATACTTAGTTACTGTGTATCAGGTATGTGTACTCTGTATTTAGTTTTCTGACGACTTTTTTACTTGTACCCCGTACATTTGAAAACAAACATCTGGACTTCCTACTCCTTGATTTGTCAAATAGGCTTTTTTTTACCTCAGCAGAAAATGGCACAATGTAAAAATGTGTAATTATGTGTAAATATGTAAGCAAACTGTCCATCTTAAAATATATATATATATATATGTATATATATATATATATATATATAGCGAATTTAGCCAATTTGTCATTTTCTTTGATGCTCTTGGTTTAAAAAAACAAAACTTTTTTTTTTCTTCCCAGCACAAGCACTATGTAAGTTAATGAAAGGGGAATTATTTTGTGACCAGTGTTTTTTTTTTAACAATATTATTAAAAGTTATCAAAAACGGCTGGCTATTCTACATACATGAACTGACAGCCAAAATCTTTTTTTTAATTTCAGCACATTTTTGGAAGTACTTTCTAAAATCCAATTTATACTTATAATTTAGGACAGGAGTTGAATCATCACCGAGTCTTATAGCAGAGTCGTCTTCTTACATAAGTAACTGTACTTTTACTTCAATACAAGGGTTAGTGACTCCTTTGGCCACTTCTGAATAAAAGAAGAAAGAGAACAGTGCCCTCATGTGGAGAGAAGCGCAGTACTGCAATTCAAGTTCAAAGCGAGTTCATTTGATAAAGCAACTTTGCCTCATCTTGATCAGGCTTTCAATAACATCTTCGTCCTGAGGTCACGCTCACCTGAGTGGCCCAAAGTTGCAGCAGTAGCGCCCGTTTCTGCATCTCCTCATCCGCTCCCTCCCGCTGCAGAAGTCGCCTATAGGCGTAAATCCAAGCGTTTGACCCCGACTCCTCCGTCTGACCCGCCGGCGCCAAAAGTTCCCACAACCTGTGACGAGCACTCTGGACTGTCCTCCTCTCCTCTGTTGGGAAAAAAAATGCAATATATGATGAGTTTGAACATCAGCGATTAAAAAATAAGAAAAGGAGATATGTCATCAGCAGCAGTTAAGAGGTGACAGATATGTCCGTAACGATGGTGATGTGTAATAATATTACAACTGCAGATGTCACTGTGAAGATGACGACATCATACTAAAAACAAACAATGACACGGCACTGAGCAAATAAAGTATAGTGATCGTGTCGAGGCAGGCTGGGCAGAAAGATGATACGAATGTGAATCATATCAGGTTTTAAAATAATATATTTACACCCCCACCCCATACTGCATATTCATACTGTCCAGAGGTGGATTTCAATATCACACAAGAGTTCATTTAAGTCAATGTGACAAATCATTGATCAAAATGGCTGTTTGAAAGTGCTCTATAAAAACAGTTGAGTTGAGTTGAGAAATCAAAAAGTAAAACAGTCGTGAAACACACTGGGGAAATGTGAGGGCCAATTATCTTATCATGTGACCGTTTTTGTTTGAGTAATACACTTCTCTCACTCCCCTGAGTGCATTTATTCTCACTGTGATTTCATGTGATAGATGAAATCAGCTCATCAGCTAACTGTGTGAGCTCAGTAAACAATGTGACATCAAAGCAGCAGGAAAGCTTGCAAAGACTTGCCAGTGAGTACAACAAAGAACAAAACAAGAATTATCTCAAAATCATCTCTCTGTCGTGACCCACATTTTCTTAACGGCAGTTTTGTTCCCATCACAGAAGTCTTTGTTTAAAAAAAAAAAAGCATTTTGTCACAATTCATTGAACTAAACAAAACATAATGTCGGTGTTTTTTTTTTTTGTAGAGTGGTGCCTTAGATACGAGTGACCCCAGGTACACGTTTTTCAAGAAACGAGCTGCTGTCGGATGATTTTTTATTATTATTATTTTTTTTATTTTTTGCTTGGACTTGGGAACAAGTAAGTAACCCACTACCTTTCTGCTAAAAAATACAATGCAAGCGGCATATAAAAGCTAACGAATAGCACCAATTTTACAGTGTTCAGCCTTCACGCGATGGCTATTTGAACACAAACGGTGGAGCAACATGTGTAGACAGACAATGTAACAACATTCACAAGAACATATTCTTTATCTGCCAAAAAGAAAAAAGATTACACGAATCTTCCTGCAATTTACTAATTCACTTGTGAAATGCTTTGAGTCGCTATGTCACAAGATGAAGCAATATAATGTCCGTTGTAGTGAAGCAAAAAAAAAAAATGTGGCAAAAACGGTTTAATTCGTGACATTCTATTACATCATATCATTTCTGTATGCTTTTGAGATTATCATACTACCTTTCTTATTAAAAATGAATTCATGACATTTTCATTCATTTCAATCAGGAAAAAAAATAATTTTCACCAAAGCATACATTCAGTAAAACACACA